GCGCCAGGCTTTCGTGAAAATGCCGCACATTTTGCCAAAACAGGAGGGAAAACACTGCCGTCTCAGAACAACATCAATTCTGTTTATTTTATTCACAATAACGAAAAATTATCATTACACTTACGAATGACTGTCCCCGTTTCTCATCTAAGTCAGTGCAAGTTAGCACTTAGACCATTGTTCCGTCCGTATGCCCTCTACACGGTACTTAGGCAAGTACTTTGCTTCGCCCAGCACACAAAAGTGGAGGGCACAGTCTCGCAGTGAGAATGTCTGGACCCCGACAAAACAATGGCTTGAAGGTTACGACAGAGTGACTCAGCCGAGCAGCAGCTGGAGCACGCAGACTCCACAGCTGAGAGTCGCTCAGCTAATCAGTATATTATGCAGTTCTTAAGGAACCCGAAAGTTCCTTACAGTGTCCTCCAATTCACGTGAAGGTCTCCCTTCCAGATTCTGGACTACCAGTCTGATCTGCCCGATCCATGCTACGTGTCCTACCTATCTCATCCCTCTTGATTCGGTCATCTTAATATTATTTAGCAAAGATCATTTCATTTTTCCGTGTTTAGGTTGTGCCGCACAGTGTCCTTCCGAGACCCGTGGACACGTTGACCTACAGAAACGAAATCAACCAAATTCAGTTCTGACTCAACTTTCACTGAATGGGCCAATCAAATGCAAGGAGAGCAAGATGAGCTCTGGACAATGTTACATTATGTAAACTGCCATAAAGCTAAACGTTATGTTATCAGGGATGTCCACCTGCAAGCCACTAAAGGGCCGAATTGTACCTTAGGTACTTACCCGCGGGCCTCAGTGGCCTCCGTAGCCTAGGGGTAACGTTCCCACCTCATGACTCAAGGTACGCGGGTTCAAAACCGGCGGAGGTCGTGGAATTTTTAAGGGCGGAAAAATTCAGGGAACAAGTCCTCCGGGAGGGACTTTAAGCCATGGGTCCCGTGTCGTAGATTTACGGCACCTAAAAGATCCTCATGTCTCTAGGAGACCTCTGAGCAAAATTAGGCAACAATTTCCCGCCCAAGTAGTTTCCAATGCCTCTGGTAGATGGGGGAAATATCAGGTACCGACGGCCGACCTCGTTGGCTGAACGGGGCTGATAGCACACACCAGTACCGGTAGGGTATGGGGACAGTAGAAATTAAAGACCAGTAACTGGTCTAAGTGCATGGGGAAACCCACCCCCTCTAATAATAATAATAATAATAATAATAATAATAATAATACCCGCGGACCTCGCTGTGACAGACACGCCATCCCCCCACCCCGCATGCTGATACAAGAGTGCGAAGCCCAAGGACATGGATAAGAATTGGATAAATAGGTTGTGGCCGAGTTGGACAGCCCTGTATACCGGTTATGAGATATGAAACTGCACGTGCAACTGTTCAGTTCCTTGACATAAAATTCAGTTACCGACGAGGCTGCCGACGATAACACTCTAGAATTTTATTCTGAAAGTGTTCGGTTCGAATACTGGCCAAGACTGACGTTCTGCAGGAAGATTCCCTTCCAACCCACACTTCATCCCACTGTATACTGGCTAAGTCTCGCGCCCCCACCGCCCCGCCAACAAACGCAACGTAATAAGAAAGAAAGCAGGAGATATATGGTAACATCACCACAGAATTTTACAAGTAGACTCGTAGAGAAACGGGCGTCCGGATTAACCTGCTGATCCTGGACTTTGCCCAAGCAGAACACGATCCCACATCGCAGCGAACAGTAGCTTTCTTGTTAGTCTATCTCTGCATGCATTTGCAGCAGATGGGGACGTGTTCTGAAACAGTGACGCCGTAATCAGGGTTGAGGGCCGCGGACCCACAGCTATCACGTGACACACACGTCTAAAGTAATTCATGTTAATTTTCTCGTGTCATCTTCCGTAAAATGTTTATTCTTTTACGGTGAGGAGTTGTTAGCGCTATGCCCAAACTCCAAGCTTGAGGACAACCCCTTGTCGGCTGTCCGCGACTACCCTCCCTGTATGGAGGCCGTCTCCTCCATCCGCAACCTGAGGAAGCGCCATGCTAACATGTCGAAGCATAGCAACTAAACGGTGCAATTGTTTAGATATGGATGCGCAACATCCTCTGGTGGCCATGCAGACGGAAGGCACAGGAGCAGGAGCGGAAGGGCGAAGCCTCTTGCTGCGTGAAGACGTTGCTCGGACGATTTTTAAGCTTGGTTTCCTCCCTTTAAACTTCAAACGGATTAATGAAATTTAATTAAGTAAACATTCTGTAACACGGTACACTAACGAAAGTAATCCCAGGAACGCCGTTATGGCGCAGCCACTCCAGAACTGAAGGGGCGCTGAGAACTTTCAGTTTCACTTCGCTTTTTTTTATTTATTTGTGCTTATTTAACGACGCTATCTCTAATTTGGACGTAGAAGAAAAGGAAAAATGACAATATCTCAACATTTACTTCCGTAAACTGAGGAAAACCACGAATAACTTCAGTCAGGACTTCAGACATTCAAATCTTGAAGAAGCAGGGACTACCCACTTGTCCCCATATTAGCAAGATCGAAGTGCCCTGCGTTATAACACGGCTTTCGAGTTTACCTCCTGCTTCATGTCACGCGATCTGTCTTGCTCAGCATGTTGACCGAGCATGTGACCTAGTCGAAAGGTAAATGAGGTCTGAAAGTCTGTGACGACGGTACATTCATACAAATTCTGTGTTTCTGAACATTACCCATCGCCCTGTTTTTGTCTAAAACGCAAAGTTTCGGAGATTGGATTCAGATAGAAACAGGACAATGGATAATGTCCTGAAACATAATCGTTATGAAACGGGTTTTGTCCGGCTGGGACATGCTGTGATCTCTTACCGCTGCTTATGAATGTATCTTTGATATTTATGTGAAATCCGCTATGAAGTGTTTTCTCATTTTTTTTTCCTTGGCATTACAGCCCCAGTGGGCCTAGGCCTACCTCCATGAACTTCTCCGATCACTTCGGTTTTTCTAGATCTTACACATTCGGTAGGACTCCTTGGGCGGGTGATCAGCTCGTCGCAAGGCTTCTACCTGTACACAAACACAGAAAAACACACAAACTAAACATCCATGACCTGAGTGGCATTCGAACCCACGATCCCGGTTTCCAAGTGAGCGAAGACAGTACATGCCTTAGACCACTCGGCTACCGTGACCGGCTGTTTCCTCATTAGTGTGCACAATTACCTGATCATGAACATGTACAAAAATTGTTTTTAAAGAAATCGTTCTAATCATTATTATTACAAAAAGGTCACTCGGCAGATCAGTAAACTGTTCCAGTCGTAAGTAAGGCCTGTGACAAAGGATCACGTGACCTAAAGACAGGCCCACGTGTATTGGTGCGAACACCGTAGCTGCACGTGTGAAAGAACATTGGAAGCTCTGGGTCCGGATTTCGGGTCTCGGTACGTTCACTACCGCTCACACGCTCTGAACATGAAGCATAATCCATTCCTCTGCCCATTCAGAACCAGCTGCAAAAGCGCCGCCTTCAAGAACAAAATTCTTCCACGTAGGATTTGAGGTTCTCTCAGCGGTCGCTATGAACAGTATTATCTTCTGGGTTGTAACGCTGTGTAGTCCGTTGAAAGTCAACCGACGTTTCGGAAGAACATATCGCCTCCAACTTCAGGGTCAAAGACCAGTAAGAAACCAGCGTGAAAGCAGGTGGCAAACAAGTTGGAGGCAATAGGTTCCTCTGAAACGTCGGGTGACTTTCAACGGACTATACTGTCTCTCACCCTAAGATAAAACATAGATTGCGGGTGTCTGTTTGTAGCTAAGAGGGAGGAAGTTCTACTCCTCGCCAAGTATCGTTAGAGCGAGGCGCTCGAGGTTTACTTCAGGTCGCTCCCGCTAGTGAGTCTACTGACACGACGGAGCGTCGAACTGATGAACGGATAATTGGAGAAGGATTTGGAAGGAAGAGGTCGTGGTTTAATCGGAGGAGGAGGGGTTGTTAGGGAGACCAGACAACGCCTATCTAAATAACCGGGAGGGACAATAAATGCATACATAATTTTAGCCGCAAAATTTAAAGGAAAGAGACCACTAGGTAGACTAAGGCGTAGATTACAAAATAATATTAAAAGGTATTTTATAGAAATAAATATTGAGGTTAGGGATTACATACTAATACATACTAGTTAAGTTTCGAATTCCATATGACGCGGGAAATATGTTGGCCACCTGAGCCACGGTCAGCTTGCACGACAATGAGGTGAGTCCCGCCAGATTGAGATGTTATGTGCATTTCAGACAATGACAGGGGCGGTACGTAGGCGCGAGCAACGCTTCCCCCCTCACCCCCGGTACAGCAGTATAAAGTTGTGAGAAGCAGGGACGCAGCCCTGACAAATCCGACGTCAGGCACACGACCCCGAGCAGTCCCGCGGAATTCAAGTCGAAAGGCGCTCTGCACGAACCGGTAAGTGCCAATCCTCTTCTTTGTCTCAACTTAGCGCTCCAGGGAGCTGACACGAAACTTATATTTTAACATTTTTAAGCCTTGAAATTTCGTCTAAACAATTCTTACTGCACAGAAAACACACAGCGTTTCTATTACACAGACCAACCGGTTAATTCTGTTTATTGTGAGAATCATACGGAACACATAAAACTACTGCGCGAAAGAAAATTTTAAGGCATGAGGTAAGCATGATTACCACTGTGCTTTAAACAGTTAACAGCCAAGAGCAGTTCAGATAAGCTTTGCTTTTAAAGGGACAGGAAGTCAATGAGGTTTAAAAGCGAGTCAATCACGTGCAACGAATTCAACTGGGATGCATGCTACATGGCTACACAGTAGTTTCATCAGTATGCCTTACAGCCGTGACACTACGAGAGCATACGAAACTGTTACGACAGCCTGGTGTGTTACAGCTGTACAAACACATCGAGCTCCTTGCTACTGCATGAGGACAATTTCGTGAATAAGTAACGTACAGTAAGAGGATACGTGCTGGACGAATTACCCGAGCATGTAGCATGTACTGGGGAAATGAAACGTGCAAAGGAAGGGTAGGTGCGCAAACCTGAAGGGAGGAAGCCACTTAGGAAATATATTCATAATTTGAAGGATAGTATTAAACTGGATCTTAAAGGAACAGAGTGACGAGTGGAATCAGCTGGCTTGGAACGTCCAAAATCTGAGGTATTCACAGTGGTGAAGAGTCATATTGTGGTCTCATGGGTTATGCCAACGTGCAGTCTTGTAGAAGGTTATTAAAGTTTCGTAGAAACATCCATCCTCCACCTTGAAAGTCGAATGAAATAATCAAGATGGACGCAGTATTTAACCCACAAGACGACAGTATTGACCTTACACTGATCATATGCTCCTTCGCTCGATACTTTAATTTCTTATGGTGGTAAACATGGAGATTGCTATGTAAGATTTGAGGCTTTCACGGCGGTGACTATGAAGAAAGCAGTCTTCTGGGATTTGTCACCGTGTATATGTGGTGTTAACCGACGTTTCGGAGGAACGTATCGCCTCCATCTTTAGGGTAGAAGAAAAAATATAAGAAATATGCAAGCGAAGAGACCTGAGAACCGGTTCTTATATTTTTTCTTCTACCCTGAAGATGGAGGCGATACGTTCCTCCGAAACGTCGGTTAACACCACATATACACAGTGCCAAATCCCAGAAGACTGCTTTCTTCATGGAGATTGCTGTCTCCTGGGAAGAAACATTTTCCATCCTGAATATGGAGGCAGGAATTTCCTCCGAAACACTGGTGATGTTCTACCGGAGTACACAGCGTCACTTCACACGATACATCAATCTTCATTTTATGTAGCTTATCTGCCACGCCGCTAATAGCTTGACTCTACAGAATCGAATGGTTGGTCAATGATGAACTGGTAAGGGATTTGGAAGGAAGTTGATGTGGCCAAATCGAGGTACCTGGAGGGACTGAGAAACACCAAGAAAACCTCAGTCAATATAGTCGGTGTCCCAAGAGATTTTCGAAATTGAATCTATACCGTTACCGCTGAGCTAATCTCGGTTTTCGGATAAGATATTTGAATACAAATCCGTGGATATAGTTACGAAAATTCGCAGCTAATGGGGTCACAATATAAACTCTGTCTCCGTTCTGAAATGGACTCAGGAGCGTTGCAATAGTCACAACAGTTTGCATTCATATAGAAATAAAAAATAAAAAGAAAGGTTTCCCTTATGCAGTTGAAGTTTCTATTGTTTCGCTTCAATTCACACGAGAAAAAAATATCTGGCTGTAGGAAACAGAACAGACTGTGCTACCCCATGCAGCCCCATACACACAACTTCTCATCAGCCCAGAACGCAAACCGACCTACCAAATTGTTCCGCTCTGCGCCGTGGTTATACTGACATTTCGAGTTGCAATTCGCAAGGCAAAGGTAACGGTAAATTCAGGGACAAAAATTAACTATTTTCTGGAATGTGATGTAGAAGTTTACCGACGTACTGATTCCATCTTCAGGGTCGATGATTAAGCCAAGCACGAAACAATTAGGAGGCAAACACTTGGTATATTTCCTGATTGTTTCTTGTTGGTTGTTTGCTTGGCTCACTCTTCGACCCTGAAGTTGGAATCAGTTGGTTGCTCCGAAACGTCGGCGATCTTCCACCGGACCACACGATGTCACATCCAAGAAGACAGTAACCTTCATTGTCACTGCTGTTAGAACCCCAATTAAAAAATGCATTATAATTCAAACGATATTGAAAAATTTCTACAAAATCAGGAATACACCAATTCGAAATCATAATGAAAATCTTTGTAATCCCACTTCTTGACTTCTTTTAATTATCACCATAATCACCAGCGTCTACTCTTGCCCTTGCAAGGGAGCGGGGTATTCAAGCAGACGTCTTTATGCGATGTTATCTCTGCCAATTTGACATCCCTTCAAGCGAATAATTCAATTTCTTTCTCTCACTTCATGTAGCTTACGGCCCAGTTAAATATGGAAAGATTTGAACTCCCCCACTTTCATATCCTGTCACTCGCTGTGACAGTCCAACTTGCTATCGACTCTCGACTGAGAGGCCGGCCAGTCACAGCGGGCAGCCTCTGCTCCTGCGAGGGATACTGCACTGCAGTACGCACCAAGAACTAGCCTCTAGTGGCCGTCACGGTAACGTCACTCTACAGTCGTGAGGAAGGGCCCCTGTCCTTCTGCCTGAGGATGGACAAAGATTCAGCCTCCGAAACACGAGCACTTCCCATGACAACACTGTCAGAGACAGACGGTCGGCCAGGAAGTTATTTTAGCGTCGAAAGGTGTCAGAGGATAACGGTCCCTAGCGGACTAGGAAACGATTGTGAAGGAAGCGGCCTTGGCCTATTTCAATTATATACCGCGGCATTCACATGCAGAGTTCGGTGTTCTGGTCATGATTCGAAGCGGATACTTCCGAAATATAAGTCAGAATCCTTACCACCTGACTACATATAGAAAGCGTTCTACCGCGTCGCAGGACACGTCACGCCCACTACGTCCTCCTCTTCTCTGTCCACAGGAAAATTATTTCACCCACACATTCTATTCTGAGGAGCCGGGATAACTCAGTCGGTATAGCGACTGGCTACGGGCTGGACGGCCGGGGGTCGGGGTTCGAGTCCCGGTGCGGGCAAGAATTTTCTCTTCTCCACGTCGTCCAGACTAGCTCTGGGGTACATCCAACCTCCTATCCAACAGGTATCGGGGGCTCTTTCCCCGGGGATAAAGCGGCAGTGGCGTGAAGCTGACCACTCACCTCCAACAGGTGTCGAGGTCAGGAAAATATGGATCTATACATCAATTCCCCCATACGCCTTCATGGCGTAGTGCTTAATTAGTTAAGCACAGGGACAACTTTACTTTATACACATTCTATTCTCATGGGACGCAGCCACAAGCTGCTCTCTCGGATTTCGTGAGAAACCAATGTGACGAGCGGGCTGCATGACACACGGCGTCAGTGCGCACGTTTAGCCACGATGTTTTGCCCAAGTGGCAGTGCCAACTCAAGGGATTGGCATGAAGGGCATGAAGGGCGTTTGCAGACAAATTGTCTCAGTAAATTGTACTATTTGGGAAGTTAAGAAAAACAGTCAAGACAGAGGTCTCCAGTGTGGTCAACTGCAGATAAACAGTGAGAAATACTGGGAGGTTAGGAGGCGAAGCGTGTGAGGGGCAACCTTACCAAGAAAAAGGTGCCGATATGGAGCGGTGAGAAGCTTTCTATTACTATTTTGACGTGGGGTAAGTTTGGGTCTCTTAGTGAGAATTATCAGGGGAAACGGAAGTACCTAGAGAAAACCTTCCCCAGTGATACCTCGTCCACCAGAAATACTAAAGACAATGAAGACTTATCTCCACTCCCCCATACGTCTTTTTGGCTTGTTCTGACGACTTTACATAACACAGTTTCATGTTTGTTCTGTTCTAATTTCTACGCTGTATGGGTCACAGGACGGTCCAAAATTAATTTACGAGCTCCCTGGGCGAAGCTGACCTCTCCACATCTTCCCATTTAGAATTAGCTGGATAGCTTCGTCTTCCATAGAGGCGCGAGCGACTGTGCAATTAAGCCTCTTCTGAAGAGAAGCAACCCAGGCAGAGAAGCAGGCCTCTGCACTAGCGACAATAGCCCCGGTATAACCCGTAACCACGGACAGAGATGGGGCTCTTGGGGTAATGATGCTGCCCGGTGTCAGATGAAAACTGAGGTTTCAGAACAGAAATCAGAACGCGATGATCCATAGAAACGTCACACCAGAGGGCATAAGTAAGGAAATGCAGCGCGGCGTAATAACCGCGGCAAGTGCACCGTCTCGTAGTCTCTGGTCTCAATCCGCGAATGCTAACTTCTCATGTTCCCTTACGCAATCGAAAAATTTCTCATTTCGATAAATGTTCAGTGACTCCCCCAATATGCTGAGACGTGCACGCAGATCTTCGTGTGAAGTGTCTGCGCCTATTGTCGCACATGTCAGTAAAGTTTAATTAAAACTTCGTAACGTTTAATTTCATGAAAACCTGCTCAACATTTTTGGATGTGATACAGACGGACAGACATGGCGAAGCTCAGTGCAGAATGATTTCAGGTTTTGAAAAAGCTAAGCAGTTCCGTCTAGTGTGACTGGTTAAGATTTTCTTATTTCAATTATTCATGCCCTAACATGTTTCGGTTTTCAGTGACCATCTTCAGAGGGATACCTTTACATCAATACTGTTAGAAGCCACCATTACAGTATATGTTCTAAAAGTTAAAATATATACATCATCAGTAATCCGTCGGACGACAGGTCCACAGTCTCTTGCAAAACAATTCCTCCACTTAATGCGATCTAGAGCTTTCTCCTTCAAATGACAGTATCCTCTTCTGTCCCCAAGGTCATCCAGCATCTTCTTACATCTTCTTCCTCGTCTTCTTGTCACTTCTATCCGCCCCTCTATCTTTCCTCCAATAACTTCTTTTAGAAGGCAGTTTCTGCGTAAAACATGACCAAAATACATACAATATAAACAATAGGCTCTTAACAAACTAACTATAAATATTTTAAAGTATTGGAACAGCCGCTGTAGTTGTAAAGACTTTAGATTTTACAGCCAATTGTATATTGAAGAAAGCAGTCTTCTGGGATTTGGCACCGTGTATATGTGGTGTTAACCGACGTTTCGGAGGAACGTATCGCCTCCATCTTCAGGGTAGAAGAAAAAGTATAAGAAATCTGCAAGCGACAAGACCGTGAGAACGGTAAATTACCGTTCTCACGGTCTTGTCGCTTGCAGATTTCTTATACTTTTTCTTCTACCCTGAAGATGGAGGCGATACGTTCCTCCGAAACGTCGGTTAACACCACATATACACGGGGCCAAAACCCAGAAGACTGCTTTCTTCATAGTCACCGCCGTGAAAGCCTCAAATCTTACACAATTGTATATTGTTTATATTGTATGTATATATTTTGACTTCTAGAACATGTACTGTAATGGTGGCTTCTAACTGTATTGATGTAAAGGTGTCCCTCTGAAGATGGTCTCTGGAGACCGAAACATGTAAGGGCATGAATAATGGAAATAAGAAAATCTTAACCAGCCACACTGGACGGAACTGTTTAGCTTTTTCATAATATTAGTGTGACGGACCAGAATGAAACCAATCAAATTCA